CTCTTAATGCATTTCCAACCGAAAAAAGTCAATTTTTTTTAGTGTGGCAATATTTGTAGGGAGGCGTTGGCGTAATTCCTTTATTAAAGTGATAATAAAATAGCGACCATTTTCTCGAATTATTTTATCGGCTTCGTGGTCAAAAGCGTTTGTGCTTACTTTTGTTTTTAAATACTCTTCAAAACTGAGGAAATGGAGCAAGGTATGGTTCCAACGGGGAGCATAGAGGATCAAATGTGTCCGCGCTAATAACCACTAGGGAGCATAGATGCGAAAGTAAAACATTGAGTTCATTAAAAATCTTCATTGGGTCTGCATTATTGCTTTCGTACAACTTGTTTACGTTTTGCACCTGAAAATTAGGCAAATAGTAAAATCGGCTAAAAACGGCTAACTTCTTTTTACAAACCGGCTAACAAATCGGCTGCCGGCTAGATCGAATTTTCTCCGGCTAGTTGCTATCAAAACCGGCTAAATCTAGCCGTAAAACGGCTAAAATGGCAACGCTGGTCGCCATACGCAGCACAAATTATTGTACAATAACACAAGCATGAGCAAAATATCAAAATGATTTTGATTTTAGCGCAATAACTGTGTAATTTAGTACAAACAACCCCATACACCACACAAACGACCGACGCAAGCCCGATATTGCCCAATGCGTTTGTTAAGATTAGACCCCGATAATAGCGGCGTGTGGCAAATAAATTCCTGGTTGTATTTCCCTCTTAAGAGTTACCAAATCAAACTTATAAATATCTATATATAAATTTTAAGACATTAAATAAGAAGAAAAAAATGATTTGCCTTTAAACTAGTATTATTATTCATAGTTTTCAAAAATTCATTTCTGCCAGCCAAAATTATAAAAATGGAACATTTGTGAACAAAAAAGTATCAAAGTATCAAAACTTACAATTTAGAAGAAAAAGTATCAAAAATTATACAATTGTATCAAAACGGCAACGCTGCTGACTGCTTATTATGTCATTGCCAGCACACTTCAAATTAAGCGTTTAACGTTTTTATTAACAGGAGTGTACTCGTACGCAAAACTATCAAAAGTTTCAGAAAACGTTTACTGGTTTTGCGTTCTCGTACCCAAAAACTTGCAAAGTAGGGGAAATTGAGACAGGAAAATGTGCAGGAAATTTCTGCTGGAAAAATTTTTCCCAGCGAAAACTGGCAAGTAAGAAAATCAGCTGATCACAAACATATGTTTGTAAATAACTAAAAGAAAATATGACGTTTTTGAATTATTTATGGCCAATTTTATTATTAATGCTAGTATACAACTAAAAAGAGAGTAAAGTTATTAAGCACAAGGTTTGTTGAGTTTATTTTTAGTTAATTTACTATTAACCTTCAGTTTGTTTACTTTAGTGTGTGCTGACTATGGTTGCCGTATATCATTTTTCGTTTGTACCATAATTGTCCTTTAAATATACCAAAATAGATAAAAACGCAGCAAGCTGAAATTTTATTGGCCGAATTTGTCAGTTTTGGTAGGTTGATTGTTGAAATTAGAATTTTCTAATTTTAAATGTACATTTGTAGCATCTACATAAATGTACATTTGTAGATATCTACTAATTTTTTTTGGATCAAGGATGGGCGTTTGGAGGATATTCTCTTATTTTTCAATGGGCCATGATGTGGTATGACAAATAGTTTTGAGAAAAATATTTTATTCATTCCGATATAATTAATCTGTATTTTAAAAAGGTTTTTCGATTCCATTTTTGCAAACAAAGACGAAACTCGATGTTTTCCAGAAAAATTCGATTTTATCCGAATTTTAGCACCACAAATTTCGATTTCACAAATTCGACAGTTTAGAGCTGAAATTCGATGAAGATTCGAATCTCGAAGCTTCGAATATCGAATTTACCCATCCCTAGTTTGTACTTCATGCAGTAAGTGGCTCATGAGCACGTGCACTAGTGCCGAACTGATTCTCTACTAGAGAATTTAGAATCATGACTAGTGCGCGTTATTTCTCTTTTGCATGCTAGCAACTGGTGATGTCCTAGGAAATGTGAATTGCCCCCGCTGCATTCCTTTTTCGATAGTTCCCAACTAGTCCAAAATTCTATAGTTCTGAACCCGTTCTAAAATCGTCAGACGAAAAAAGTATCACGAATTTTTCGATCCTTTTGGTTTTTAATGCGTGCGTTTTTAAATCATTTTCAAATAAATGTGAATTCAATTTAAAATACAATTTTTTTTTTTTTAAATGTATGTTTGGCTGTAGCTGAGTTTGCAGAGGTGCTTGCTGTTGGTTAGATGCCAGAAGGTCCCAAGATGTTAAAATGTTAACACAGATTTTTGTGTTGTATTATCAACATATGAAAAAAAATCTGCGAAGTGTAGAATGAAAGCGTATTTGAACGAAAAGGCGGCCAAGACATACATTTTTACATATTTATGAATGTAAATTAAACAAGCCCACCGCTGCATCCCTTTTTCTATAGTTCCGAACCAGTTCTAAACTCGTCACCTTAGATATAGATTTCTAATGTTTGACGTACTTTCGCAACGGAAGACATTAACGTCCCAAACCCTCGGTTTTTTTGGTAATGTAGAGCCAAACAAAATTAATACAAATGCAATGTCAATACCAAACACTTGTTAAAATCTGTAGAATAAAAAGTCATAGAAATGTTATTATATTCTTGCTAAATTTTCTGCGTTTTTCTTTTTAAGCTTCCTAATTCATCAGCGGCAAAAGTTACGCTGCGTCGCGTTACGCTGATGTCGACTGGAGTCTACAAATGCGAAGTTTCCGGCGAAGCGCCAGCATTCAACACTGTTTCCGACGCCGAGATGATGAGCGTTGTCTGTAAGTAGTAAACTTTAAATCGAACCCTTTATTCCAACCAGTGTTGTCACTTCAGAAACCAAATTAGTGCTAGCTTCTTATTTAATAAAAATTAAGATGGAACTCCAATAAGGTGTGGTAGAACATTTGTAAACATTAAAAACATTATAGGTATCCACTCAAAAACATAAAAAAAATTTCATTAAAATCGTTTCGGACTTCACTCAGAAACACACGTACCGATTATATATGTATATATGTATTTACAAGGTAAAAGTTTCAGTATGTTTGGAAGGCACCATGCCCTCTTTTTCAATAGCCCCCACTTTTCTCCATGAGTATAAATACTTCCACATATATGCGGCATGAATAATGGACCAACTATTTCATAGCTCAAAGAAGTTCAGGTTAGGTTGGGTTTGGTTAAAGTGGCTGCCCCAGCCAAGGGACACACTTGGACAATTAAGAGATTATCCTTTTTAATACCACGAAGAAACTGAATGGAGACCTTTAAAGTAGTCGGCGAAACGCCGCGAGCCGATTACCAAATATCGAAGGCGGCTAATTTCGATTCCCGAGAGCTCAGTGCTAGTTAAGAAGTGCGAGCCAAATTCCTTCCTTCTTATAGTCCGGGAGCCAGCGAGATATTTTTGTCAATAATTTAAGTTCCGGCCATATTAATATATGTATATGACTTGTATGATGTTGCTACGAAGCGTAGTAACGTTCAGCTGCACCATTGTGGGTGGGTTGGGCTACAGCAGCCTCCCACGCAAACAAAAAAATAAAAAATTTAATTATTTCAGTTTTGCTAGAGATGATATGAATGATAGAGTGTATAGTAAAGAGTAAGAAAACGATGTTCAGCTGGCTGGATGTGGGTGGGTTATACTTCAGCTGCTCGGGTGAACATAAAAAAAATAAAAATAAATTCATGATTTTAGTTCGCACGAAAATTGGTCAGGTGATAGTGGATATGATACTTAAATCAAAACAAACGTTCCGCTGGCTGTATGTGGGTGGAAAAACGTTCAGCTGAGGCAGTGAATGTGTAACGCTGAAAGCAGGTATATGAACGGCGCTCTCAGGGCACGCGTAACTTTAGTACGTCAACTGAACGTCTTTCCGCCCACATACAGTCAGCTGAACGTTTTTTTTTTGTTTAAAGTGATATGTGAGCTATCATATAACCAATTTTCACCCGAACTGAAAGAATGTATCTAAACCTACACGTATTTACTCATGCAACTTTCGTACAAGTGACGTTAATAAATGAAGAAGTATATCAATGAAAATTTTTATTTGACGTCGCTTTGGTCCGCTGACGAGCTTGTAGCGTCGTCATCCGAACCGCTATCAGAATCGCTTTCGGAAATCTCTGTCAGTATATCTTTGCCATCATCTGCAAACAGATATAATAAAAATGAGTTTTTAATATTTACAATTAATCACATAAATAAATGTTTATAGCAAGTACATATTAATTAGTAAAAAACAAATTTTTAAAATAATGATATAATTTTTGAACGAAAAAACTTTTCTATTCAAATTTGTCTTACATTTTTCCGGCTGGATTGTTATTTCGTGAAGTGATGTTGGTAACTGTCAGAAAACCACCTAAATTGATATCTGTTGTCCATTTCTTCCCAGCCATAGTCTAACGGTGTTTCGCCGCTGGGTACTTGTAGATGAGCATGCGCCCAAATCTGAGCGATGTAGCACGCTCTTAGGAATTGTTGCTGCAGTTCCATTTTACAGGGCGGTAGTGCTGAGCCGTCGATAGTTTTATTCGGCAAGCGGAAAACATTATCATTCTTCAGCACCTTGTAGTTCCTCATGAACGTTGCGACCCTAGCTTCATTAATGTCATTAATTTTTTTGAAACCGTAGAGTCGGCAGACGAATTCTTGTATTTTGTCGAAAAGATCTTCTCTACTCTCCGATGAGGTGGACATTGCAATAAAACTGTTGACAAATTATTTATTTTTGGTCATCATTAAGTAAGGGCGCTTTCCGGAAAAAGGCCGGGTTAAAGTCACATCCTGTTATTGCGTGGAAGGCTGGCAGCGCCGCGCTAACATCGCTTCCCAAAGTCTCGTACAGATTATTGATATTAATAAATCGTTGATTGTTGTAGAACTTGCATCGATATATTAATATTCTTGTCTATATTGCTCATAATGGCGAGCATTATGACTAAAATATCAGTGTCGGGACACCGAATGGTAACGTTAGTATCACTTTGTAATTTACAAATGTGGTAAATAATCTTAGTGTCTGCCTCTTCGTGACTAGGACAAGTCAGTTGATGCTCGATACTTCGGATCATTTTACCATCTCTGACTATACTGGCTGTCCCAGAAGTAACCTCCCAAACTTTAAGAGAAGGCAAGTGGGGTGGTGAGCTCTCTGATAAACAAAAAATTTTCAGGTAAAAGTGTCACCGTTTTTGAAATATTTAAATTTTTTTGAATTAAAGAAAAATGGTGCCCTTTCATGTATTTTCTTTAACTGCATCTACAAAAAAGGCTATACCTAGTAAAGTTTTTATGTAAAATACTTTCAGATAGTTGCTTCTCCATACTCAAATGCAATGTAGTTCAAATATATTAAGGAACCATTCTAAAATTAGGACAATATTGCGACTTTTAACTTTTTGATATTTTCTTCCCTAACTTTGACTATCTCTGGTGAAAACAAAATGTACTGAGCTATAACTTTACATTACATAAAAAAATTGCTCATTTAATAAAGATTTCAGAAAGGTGCCACACTTACTGTTTTGAATAGAAAAAAAAAAGTTATAGCCGCTTTTGTGGGTAAAGGACTGAGACACGCTAGAATGTATTTAATAGATTTAAATTTAAGTTGCTCTTGTTACCGACCAATGACATGCTAAATAGTACAAAGGTACATTACACTGTGAGACAAATGGTAGTGGTCAGTGATCAGTTATACGTGTCCAGGCGTTTCGCTGGGTCACGTCTAGGAATCGAGATATATCGATTTGAAGTTAGTAACTATCATATAGGGGAAATTGTCACCTTTGGTGGTCTTTTTTTGACATAACTCGAGAACCACTAGTCCGATTTTGCTCAAACAAATTTAAAAAAATTAAAAATTACAATTCCTTTAATCTGTTCATATAACGTTTTTCTATATAATCAACAGTTTTGCCGGTAAAAATAAATGTATGAAGAAAAGAAATATTTTTTGCCTAAAATATTAAATTTTTTTATTTTTTAAATTCATAAAAAAATCCAAAACGGAAAAAAAGGCAAGTTGTATTACTTTCACGCAAAGTCACATAACCTTTAAGCAAAATGAGACATAGATCATGAAAATCGATGGACGCGTTTCGCTTTTATTCCCAATTAAGTGAAGGTATCTCATTTTGAGAAGAATATTGATTTTATGTCAAAATGAGATACCCTCACTTAATTGTGAATAAAAGCGAAACGCGTCCATCGATTTTCATGATCTATGTCTCATTTTGCTTAAAGGTTATGTGACTTTGCGTGAAA